TCTAGTGTTTCCCGAAATCGTTCTTGATCTTTTTTACAAGATCTAGACCAAGACCGCCTAATTGCTGCGAGACCAAGAATAAGTATCTGCAAAATTCTGGCGTCTTGAAGTCAACTGAGACTATTTGGAGATACATTAAAGTGCTTCAACATTATAACCTCTTTTTTTTCTTTAAATATTTATCCGCACATGTCATGGTTTCGACAATCAACAGATTTGTTGTAATGACGAGGATTGGCATTAGAGGCTTGAGGCCTTAAATCTAAATTGCGTTGTTTTTCTTATTAAATTGTATATTCGATTATAAATCTTCAAATAATAACAAGTAATTAATGTTTTAGTATTTGTGATGTATTTTTTCCAGGACAAGGTTAAAAAAATTATTTTCATGAACAAAAATTAATATTAGACAATTTTATTTACTAAATGTGAGTGTTGCCCAAATGCGAGACCGAGACGAGCCTTGGTCTTGCAAACTCGGTTTAGGTCTTAGTCTTGCGCAAGACTCTTGTAACAGTCTTGCAGTTACCAATTAGCTTATTACTAGAGAGATATTAATGTATTTTTTTAGATAGGAGAGACCTAACTAAGTCTGAATAATAAATTAGAAGAGTTAAATGAAAAAGTATATTGGTTACACCAATTCTTTACATATTGTAACTAAAATTGTCAAGTATTAATAACTATTTTGCCTCAATTTTTATTCAAAAAATCGGTTTTTTTACCAGTCTTGGTCTTGGTCTTGCAACAGATAGGCGGTGTTGCTCTTGGTCTTGCAAAGTGCAAGACCTAGACCGATTACTGTCACCACTACTAAATGTAAAGAATTGTAGAACAAATATACTTTTGCATTTAACTCTTCTAATTGGTTATTAACTCAAAAAGTATACATTCTATCGGTTTACAATGGACCATTACGTTAGTACAGAATCAAAACATTTTAACCTATTTTTGTTTAAAGATTATTAAATTTCCGACAATACTATAAAAAAAAACATCTGATTTAGACCTGTTTTAGCAACGTTGCAGCGTATATTGAATTGTATACACTGATTACAAAAATTGTTTGCTGGACCATTTATACTTCATTAGTTCATCAAAGAAATCGTACTCTAATGATTTTTCTGACCGGTTATCAGGAAAATTAGTCTGATTCAATAGTGTTATTTTAAATGAGCATATATCAAATTGAAAACATTGTTTATAATCGGCAGGAAAGTCATGTGAGTGGACACACCAGATTTTTTATTTAAATAATTGGTGAGGTTGTATAGATTTCCTTTTGTCAACTACTCTTCCATTTCCAAGATGGGGCCTATAACTACTTTAGTTGAAAATGACATTAATGCAATGTCAAATTAATTTTCTTAATTTGGGTAGACATTGGTATGTTTATGTCAATAAAACATGTAAACCTAACTATTCTGTAGCGTTTTTCCAAGATCTAAAGTAATATGTTTAATCAATAGCAATTAGCTACTACTATGCACGTCATAGTCAGCGTCAGAGCCTTTGATGGACCAATGTTCTGGGATCTTAAGGGCCAAGATTAAGAGGAAAACCGAACTCTATGCCTTCACGAACATTTTATATACTGTTGGCTAAAGCTAGCTGCTCTGGGACTTCAATCTCCGCAGAAGAGGACCTGCTCCTGGAAGGACGCCTGACTGACGGAAGATATGACAAAATTCATGCTTAAATGAATAGTTTTATGAATGAAGAGTTTTATAAAAGAGTTAAAACACTTTATGTTTAATAGCAGAGATGACATACATATATGTGATGAAGTAATCCCTGCAAAACTCGTGTGTAGCCTAAAGGCAAGGAAGAATCCGTGAGAAATTGACATAATGCATTTAAGGTAGGCATATGCCCATGATGGTACAGCAATATTTCGATAAAATTTACTATCAGGAATTGATACTTTAGATCATCGATTTTAATCATGTTAACAATGTTCTCAAAATTCCTTCAACGGTTTTGTTTAAATTAATTTGATGATTTTAAAACATTTAATATTATTCATCATGCTTAGTTGAACTTTGTTCTTTTTTTAGGGGTTAATTTGCCTATTGGTCAGAAATAAATTAATCAAAAATTAGTATTTGATTGTAAATTTGAACGTTTCGAAGAAAACTTCGCCCTCCTCCTCAGCCATACATTATTCACACAAGAAATTGTGTTAATCACAAAATTTCAATTCAACAGGATACTTAGTTAAGTACCATTGACCGATCCTGTTGAAGTGCAACTCTGTGAATAATCCAATTTCTTGGATGAATAATATTATTGCTACTAAGGAGAACGAAGTTTTCCTCGAAACGTTTTGCAAATAAATTTTCAATCAAATACTAATTTTTGATTAACGGATTTCTGATCAATAGGAAAATGAATCACTAAGTTAATATTATATTTAATAATATAAATATTAGTATTTATATTTAATAATATATTAAATATATTAGTAATATATTTAATATTATTCTAATTGCAATTAAAGGTAACTAATTAAAGTTCAAAATATTCATATAAGTAGTTTTGAGGCGTTTTATAATTTATTATTATTATATATGTCTTTAATGCAATAAAAATAATGTACCAAAAAACGTTATTACAGTAAATATAGTATTATAGTATAACTATGACATTAGTGAGCACTGAATCATGAGGCAGAGTGCTGTAGATGAGTACCGCTTTTCCGCCGATTATGTGCATTTTCTAAAAAAATTGATTAAAATATTTGAAAAAATAATTAGTATTTTATAAAGAGAAATGCATTATCCAGATGTTTTATGCATGAGCGTTTTTCGTAATTGCTAGTCGTTTAATTACAAACGAAACTTTATTTTAAAAATTAGTTTGAGCTACTTCAAAAAATTGATTTTACTGGCGTACGTTTATTTTTTTCAATAACGAACAATTATGATCGACCAAAAAATTCAAAAACTTAACCTCCTTTCAAAATTTGATGTTTTACGTTTCAGGATACGTAGAATTCGAAAAACGAATAAATTTTTTTTCCGTCCGCTGTCCGCGCATTTTCTCCGATACTATTAGACTAATTTTATTTAAATTTAGGTATGAAATCATGGCACACTAGGATGATCCTCCTTCATCAACATTACTACCCGCCTTTTACTTTCAATATGGCCGCCGAAAAACCTGCGTTGCTATAGACTGTAGCGCCTAAACGAATTTACCGATTTCAATGAAACTTAACTAAAGTCATTTTATTGACACCCTTTAAATTCATCTATATAACATAATTCAACGAAAATAAGCTGGGAAAAAGTTACGAGGGATGAAAGAATCAAATTCCAAATAACTCAAAAAGTTTACACTGTTTTGTTGATATTGTATATGGTTTTTTAAAAGTTTACGGAACTTACAAAAAAAAAAAAAAAAAAAATCGTGCAATCGTATATATAATCGTTCAATTAGGTGCAAAGATATGGTCTCTAATTTTTTTTATATGTTCTACTGCAAATGTTATATCCTTTGTTTTGGTTTAAGTTTTGAATGCTACTGAGGTAATGCATTTTTTTATTTTTTTTTTTTAGCATATTACTTTCTTTTTTTTTAAATAATTTTATTGAGGTATAATACATTTTACCACTTGAGGGTACTGAGTATTAAAGCTGTAAGGTACCTTCAGACCATATTTACAATATAATAAAATTTTAAAAAAAATGAAATACATAAAATTGATATATAAAAGATAATAATGTATATATAACAAAAATAAAACTGTAGTAAAAACAAAGTTCTATATTTCAATACTGCAATCACCACCTCCGGAATCAACTTACTCGCTGTCTGCATAAATAAATTTTTCAACTAAAAATATCACTAAATTGATATTAGTCAAAAATGCTGAAATTGGAGTAAGTCATTCTGTGGTTTATAAAAGCAAAAAAAGTTGTGTGGTATATAAAAGCAGATGGAGTGACTAGATTTTTATTGCCTACCGCCGATATATTAAATAGACATTTTGTAATTTTAATGGTCTTAATCACTTGTTATCTGTAAGCTTTAATCTTTCGCCCCGTTAAAATGCACTTCAAAAAGTTTTATAATAGCCCATCATTGGCAGAAAATAATTTCTTGTTGTGGGCACCAGATTTTTTTCCTTGTAACCAGGAAGGTAATGTTACTTTAGATGTATAATTGTTTGGCAATAATAAACCATTGTGAAATAATTTGCAGGTTTTTTTTATTCCTAGATAAATACTAATTATTTTTAAATATTTGTTCTTGTTTTATTATTTTCAGACTTTCCAGCTTTCATAAAAGGCTAATTATAACGAAATTAATCCAAATGCTGAATCTCAGTGACCAAAAAAAGCTTAGTCAAGTCAAAATCGACTATGTTAGGAAGCCATTTTGGGACAGTGAGGGCACTTTTTGAGAGGAGGGAAACTTGTTTTTAAAAATAAATGATTTCAAGAACACAGCGATATATATTTTATACGGAGTGATGTGTGCGGTGGAGTGCACGGTAGGGGATCTAGCCCACGTATTACTCTTCCTTATTTATTAAAATATATAGGTTACAAGAAATTCGTTGTATCTCTTTATGTAAACTACAACCTATATAATTATTTTCCGTTAATTATTGTTTCGCTGAGTACATATATTTATAAACAGGTAGGTGAAGTCTGAACAATCCTTATCCCTCCGTCTTTTTATGGGGAAGCAGGACTTTGGTCTGCTCTTCTTTCTAAATTAATTCAAAGGCAAATTATTTCTTTTTAACCATTAACTAATAAAATTGATTGTTGGAATATACAGATACAATAATGTTACGTACAATTGAGTATTATATACATTTTTCTATAAAATACTAATGAATTAGAATACAAATAATGAAGAAAAGAAGTCGAAGACAGAACTTCTAGTGAACGCCTTGAGACCATTCCGGCGTCAAGGCTTGCCTCACCGGTATTGGGAACATCTTCACTTCATCTATTTTTCAAGAATCTGCATAACCAGACCCTGGAATGTCTGGAATGCTGGCTACCAATGCCCTGCTTCTAAAAATATACTCAAGGGTACTTTTTAATATTAAAAATATTTCATTAAGACATCATCGATTTCGCAAATTCATCATTAAACGCTTGTAAACATCAGAATAAAGCAACAAAACTACGCCGAATATTAGATAATGGTTTATTATTTCCAAATAGTTATATATAAAATGTATCACTACTTTTCTTACCACTTCAGGAAAAATAAATCAGTTTTTTTTCTCCTGGTATTGGCCTGCATATGAATATTTTTTCGTTTCAAACTTTTCGTTAAGAAATATTGCCAATGATCTTATTTATGAGGACTTCAAGAATCATTTCATACACAGAATTTCATATGTATGTGTATTTTTTTTTTTATTCCAAAGTAATAATAATAATTTATAAGGCTGAAGCTCCCAAAATTAAATCCTGGATCTGTTAGCGAGAGCGATACAGGTATTTTAGCCGCCATCTTGAAGAGAAAGGGCGGATGGTCTCAAAACAATTGGTCCATTAATCTCGGAGAAAAGCGGACGGCGTTGCACAATGGGACAAGTCAGGCAAAACTCGGAACATTGAACAAAATCGAAATTTCTATAATAATTTTAAAAAGCGTAAAAACATGTTCATTAGAATTCAAAGTATATAATAGTCTTTTTTCAAGCGACTTCAATTAATAATAAATTAAAATGGTTCATAAATATGTTTAAGAGTTAAGCGGTTCGATTTATATGATGCAAAATTAGATGTTTATCAAATATTTTGCTATTAAATTATAACAGTATTTATATTATCTTTTAAATATTATACAATAAAGTACATTGTATTCAGAAAGTTTTGTAACAAAAATGAACGAAAATAGCATAATCATTATAATTAGGTAGTTTATTTTCGGATTTAAATTTTTCATTTTTACGAATTTTCACAAATTCAACAATTACATTTTTTTTATTTTAAAAAAAAGACTGTAAAACGTAGTAAGGTAGTATTTGAATGTGAATCCTAAAACGTTCTTCCCATCTCACCCTACTTTAAAAGTTATTATATAAATATAATTATTGAGGTATTTGTAAAAAATATAATATTCGTTTTTTCCTCTAGTTTGATATAAATATATTGTATTAGTATGAAAATGTATAATTGTTATTGAAATGTACATAATTAGGGAAGAAACTTTTTTATTTTTATTTTTTTTATTACAACGATATATGGGCATTTAAAAATATATAAATATATATATTTTTAAGTAAACTGATATATCATTTGATAAAAGAAATATTTTTTAAAAAACCGGTATATCGTTTATAAAAAAAAACATTAAATTTTATTAAACTGAAATATTGTTTAATTGAATAGAACTTTCTAAAATTAATAAAACTTTGTAAATAATGAATAAATTAAAGAACTTGAATTTAAAGAAATTATTAAAACATTAAGATCTATTTCTTTTTCTATAACTCTGCTCATAGTTTTTCTTTTATGTATCAGATTTAAATTGACTAAATATAATTATGTAAGAATAAGAAAAACTTACATTCAATAGATAAGTAGAGTATTTTAATTTATATCTAATTTTAAAATATTGGAATTGAAGGATATTTTCGTTAAGATTGTCATTGTTTTATTTTTATATGGATTTGTACGATTTAGAATTAGTTTTGGTAGGGAAAATAATTCGAAAAAAAAAAAAAAAAATTCTCAATGTAATCAGATTAAACAAAACCTCAAATTTCGAGTTAGAGTGTTACTTTATTTTCGTTTATTATTGAAAATAAAAAAAATTAAAAAAAAAATTGTTCTCACCCTCCATCGATTTTATTGTAAGATTCCAATTTATAAATATAAATATATGCATAAATTTTCGTTAATAATTTTTTCTTATACTGCTCGATGATATACTTTTATTACAAAATTAATTCCACATTATTCTGGTGAACTATTTTCTTCGCATCAAAATTGTCTAGAAACTTTTTAGTTCAAAATTTGTTTATTGAAAAATACCACATTAATAATGCTTTGATGATATAATTCGAACAACAGATCATTATTTTAAAATAAATGTGATCCATGTAGATATGATTAAGTGAAAATTGCCTCATAAAAAAGAAACCCCATTGGTAATAATAAAAATAATGTATATAAAAAGATGTCAGGTTATTTGATAAATGGATATTAAAAGTTTATTAGTCCATAAAAATGAATACAATATTCTCTGATATAAGTACGTGATTTAGCCGTGTATAATATGTGATTTAGCCGAGTCTAATACGTGATTTAGAATTTTGACAGTTGTATGTTTAATATACAACAGAGCAGGAAAACATTGTAGCTACCGTGTAGAGGATTTTCCTAATATGACTGAAAATAAGATTACAAAATTTTTAAATCTTTAAATCAGTTTAATTCTTTCACTTTATAAAATAAAGAAGAAAAAAACAACCTTCCAGTATTATTCATTGAAATTGACATTTTCACTGTCCAGAAAATTGATACCATTTAGAAAAAATCTGGTAAAAAACTTTCACTTACCACCCTCTTCTTAGCAGATATAAGTTTTCCAGATATTTCATATATAAATAAGCGGAAATAAAAATAAAACTATAACGTATCTTGATATATATATTTTTTATTTGATAACGCCTTTATTTATTGTTTTATTTATTGTTTTATAACGCCGAATCGGATATATATAAATATTGTTTTGTTTTATTTTCAATTATTATGAAAGTATTTAACAAACCCGAAACATTGAAGCCTTAAATTTGAGGTTTTACACTTCAAGATACGTACTACCAAAAACAAAATACAAATAACATCTTTCCTTCTGCGACTTTTCTTTGAGACTACACTGCCGTTAGCATTTTCTTTTTTTGCGCAAAACGTTTGTAAACGGTTATATTGCTTTTTGGTATTAAACTAACCATCATATATATATATATATATATATATATATATATATATATATATATATATTATCATACATAGCTGTAAATTGTTTCATCAAGGAACAATGGATGCAGACCATCCATTAGACGCATGTCCTGCCTTGAGGGACATAAGAGAAAAAATATTTTCAAATATATATATTAGATAGTCTAAATTATACTGGGCAGCAAGATGTCGGATGGCCAAGTGACCAACGACTGCCATAAGAGATATATTATTATACACTACGAATTTATATCCTGCCATCTCCATTTAAAACAAACTAAGTTTATTTAAAAATTTATTTGTATAATTGTCAAACTTGTTATGTATTTTGGAACCATGAAATCTTGAGTGGTATTTGATTAAAAAAGGCACTCCTACAATTAAAAGTAAATCTAACTAGTACTATAGAATATTTAAATTACCAAGGAAACTTTGATTCCAAGGTAGGGCATTAACACGCAAAAAAGCAAGGGCAGTGATGACCTTAGCCAAAGATGTGGAACAGGTATAAAAGACCGGGAGCTCATCTCTGCTCCAGTTTCTCACCAGTTCTCGAACATGGCACGTCTCGTAAGTACTTCAAGAGTTTAAGCATTTTTTTTGCGAAATAATTACTATTTAAAGAATGACGAAATTCTTTCATTATAACAATAAGATAACAGTAAAGCTTTGTTTTCTAAATTTCCTTAATATTAGTTCACTGAATCTCATTAATCATCTATTCCAGGTACTCCTCATCGCCGCCGTCTTCGGCGTGGCTTCTGCTCAGCTGATCGCTAGGTCTCCTCTGGCTTACTCCAGGCCCCTCGCTTACGCCAGCCCATACGCCTCATACGCTAGCCCCTACGCCGCCTACGCCAGGCCCTACGCCGCATACGCTGCTCCAGTCGCCACCGTAGCCCACGCTCCAGTTGCTGTAGCTCACGCTCCAGTTGCTGTCGCTCACGCTCCAGTAGCTGTCGCCCACGCTGCCCCAGCCGTAGCCGTCGCTGATGAGTACGACCCACACCCATCCTACTCCTTCTCCTACTCCGTCAACGACGCTCTGACCGGAGACTCCAAGGGACAGACCGAGAGCCGTGACGGAGATGTCGTCACTGGAAGCTACTCCGTCGCCGAACCCGATGGTTCCGTCAGGACCGTAGACTACACCGCTGACCCAATCAACGGATTCAACGCTAACGTTCACAAGGACGCCCCAGCCGCCCACGCAGCCCCAGTTGCCGTCGCTCACGCTCCAGTAGCCGTCGCCTCTCCAGTCATCGCCGCCCGTGCCGCCCCCCTCCTCCGCGCAGCCGTCGCCCGCCCAGCCCTCGCTTACTCCGCCTACGCCCCAGGCTACGCCACCGCTCTCAGGGCCGCCGTCCCAGCCGTCAACCATGCTTCCCTTACCATCCACTAAATCTAGTGTTTAATAAATTATTTTAATCAAATCTATTTCTATATTGTTTTCTTTTTTTATATTATTGCCCCACAAAACTAGTTTTCTGGAAATGTATTACGGACATTAGGTACAACATAATTTCTTATGAACCTTTTTCTTTTAAGAGAACCCTTTTTAGGCTCAGATTTTAGATTTTGATCTTTTTTTAAACAATTATAACTAAAGATCATACAATGGAATATGTTGGTAAGGAAAAAATATATATAACCTCACATCCTAGTCTCCATGATGCAGCAGCAGACCACCCATATCTCCTATAGCCGATCTCTTTGGGGCCAATATCGATCTATAGATTAAGGCTGTTCTGAGCCAGCAGGCGTACGAGGATTTCTTTACCCGAAACAGACCATCCATGGACGAAACCTCAAGGGGGTTACTGACATGATGGTAAGCCATATCCCGAATCCCGACTTAAGTACACCTGATAGGATCCATCAGCCCTACTTTCCGTAGTATATAATATATATATATAATATATATATATATATATATATATATATATATATATATATATATATATATATATATATATATATATTATATATATATATATATATATATATATATATATATATATATATATATATATAATTTGTGTGTTTATCTAGAAATCCCTGCAAACCAAAGATAAAATATAATAAACATTTAGTTTAAAATATTATTTTTTTTTATTTCTTGGTTCCAAAGGTCATTTGAATGAGCCAGGTCTAATATTTCCGACCTGAAATCAACAATAAAAATTAGGTTACCTTTTTTTGTAAGTGAAAGAGTTGTCCTATAATATAATAAATGACAATAGGTTTTATTTCATATTCACAAATATTATTTCTTTTTCCTTACTAAAATTGCACCCGCTTCTTCCCTATTATTTGTTCCTTAAAGCTTTATAGGCCATAACCATTACACTTGTCATATCCGAGCGGAGTCATTTAGAATTTTCAAACAGTTTTATGTGATTTTATGGAATAAATTATTGTGTAATATGTGTTTTAATTTATCCTCTAAAAAATATATACCAATTTATGAGCGAACTGCTGGCCAGATTTTTAAGTTCAATCGTATAAATTATTAAGCGAGATACCATGAGTGTTTTGAAAAGCTTCGTACTAAAAATACTGAATAGTTATTATATAAAATGAATTTAATCAATCCATTGAAGGTATGATGCGGTTTTTCAAGCGAACGGCTAGACCGATTTTTAAGATAAATGATTTAAATTATTCATTGAGATCTCATGATTGTTTGAAACAATTGGGGTTCATAAACGAACAAATTATTGCGTAAACGCAGTATATAGCTATAGAGCAAACGGCTCGCGCCAATTTTTATGTAAATGGTTAAAATTATTTGGTGAGATGAGATTTTTGAAACACTTTGAGCTCAAAATACTGTAAATACTGTGTATTATATTTTAATTATTTTTTGTTGGTTAAATATGGGATCATTTGTATGATCGTGATCATATGTGGTGATTATAAATTCAACATTCCATATTTGAAAAAATAAAAAGGTTAAATTTGTATTTAAATTTGGTGTAGTAGTATTGTGTCTTTCACTACACACCTAGTAAATTTCATACAACTAATAAACTTTCTACTAAAAAGTAAATATCGCTCCATATATCGGACATCCGAAAAAAAGTGTAAGTTTTTTTGAGAGGGAGGAAGGCTCCCGAATACCATAGCAATTTAAAATATTTTTTTATAAGTATTCCCTCAACAATCTACCAAGTTCTTCAATTAAATATGCAGATATACGAGTATTACTATAGTATAAATAGAATTTCCTGATTTTCGTAGTCAATTTTTAACAAGTAGCAATATAATTATTGCCATTTTAGCTCACCAGATTCAGCTGTTTTCAATGTTATCCGGAAAATTAACTCAGTTTGGAAAAAAAATAAAACGGTTCCATCCATAATTTTTTTGTGTAGTTATTATGAATTGAACTACTATATTATTTTATCAGCATTTGTATTTTTTTTACTTATAGTACTGTCTTTCCTCTTTTCCAAATCGACAAAATAATAATAATATCACAATGAAGCCATGTTCTAAAAGACGCAACAGCACCGGACAAATGTGGATTTTGCTCACAGGTGGATGTGGAGTGTTAGCTGGTAGCTAGAATCTTCAGAGACATAACTATATGTCCACAATTTTTATCATAAAACACCATTTTATAAGTATCTAAGTATCACCCTAGTGGAATTTTTCAAAAAGGTACCGTCAAGCTCTATTGGGATGAATCAATTCTTACTGACCAAAGTGTTCGTCATGAGGGACCAGATATTCACCTCATATCTTTGATAGAAAATATAAAAAAATACAGAATTTGAAGGGATTCTCAGTGATAATAATATAAGATCCGCTGTGGGAGAAAAAATTAGAAAATACCAAAAACTGGTTATATTATATCATTCTGAAATCGTCAACACTACTTAATAATATCCACCTATGAGCTGATACAAAAATCAACGCTGGCAGGCACGGATGGTATAAAATTGCATATTGGTGAGCTAAGAAACTCAACAGACAGCGTTCTTAGACACAGCAAGTATTTTCATAAATCTTTGAAAAGAATAATATAAAGTTGGTTGGCCTTGTGGTGTCCCACCTCAGAAACAACCCACAAAAGCAAGAAAACACGAGGTATAATAATAGTAATAATAATAATAAATCTAGGGTTCTAGTGCAATGGTTTGGTTCCATAATACCGTTATACCGCAGAAAAAAAAAGTTGAAAACACAAAAAAAGAGTTAACTATCATGAACAATTTACGAAAATTATATAGTGATGATATAGAGCTGACCTGATGTTTTGATTATATGTAAAAAAGATGAAACAGCCAGAATCATCATCATATTGGTATCAAATGATTCCAACATATTAACCATAAGGACTAAAAAAGTATCTGGATCTTCCCTTAGAATTAAAAATGCTTTATTACTTACAGATTAATATTTTCTGTATTATTTATTTTTATTTATTGCAGATAGATTGCGAATGTGCTCTCTGAACACTATTATAAACGTCCTTTATTGTGACGGATTGTAATATTTCTGAATTAAAAAAATAAAAAATTAATTACAGAAAATAGAAAATAACAGTGATTTCTATAATAATTCCATTAAATGTTCTAATATTGAAAAACATAGAATAGTAAATAAGAGATCTTGGTGTTAACCTATAGCTTGAAAGTGTCTCAAAAGTTAGTTCCGCTTAATACTTGCAGGGTTGTCAGAAAACTCCGTAATAAATGAAATTGCTCAACATATTTTCTACATTATCTTAAAATACTTTCAGGAATTGTATCAATTACTCAATAAATATGGGTATCTGAGGCATTAAATAAAAAAAAAGTATTGATGCATAGAAATCTCATGATACTCATAATCGCTACATATATCTGAATCGGGAATTAACTGAGATGCCTCTATCAATTGACTTAAAAAAGGATAACTATTTTTCGTAAATGAAGGATTTATTTTTGAGATTAAGAACCAGGTAGTTCAAACGAATTAATTTTTGAAATATGGATGCGGAGAAGATATAAGTGACAAATGCCACCTGTGTGAAAATACAACGAAGTCAATCCTACATACATCATCGGGATGTCAAGCGTTGATAGGTAAATAATACTATATTTACCATGTTTTACTACTAATAATACTATATTTACCTCAATTTAACTCATAATAACTGACCAGATTCCTTATTATCTGTATCAACGAAAGCAGGTACTGTACTTTAAAAACAAAACATTATTTAGGAATAGTTCTAGAATTACAAACCACACGTTCCTAAAAAATAAACCGTCATAATAATAATAAATCTAAATAGAAAAAGTGGCTATGGCATTGAGATTGCAGTTCATAACAATGATAATGGCGTAAAGACGATATCAGAAAGAAAAGAAAAGATCAGAAAGTACCATCCTTTGCATCAAGAGCTTCGGTAACTTTATAGACTGTATCATGAACACGTAAATCTGACAATAATTACCAGCAATAGCCTCATCCCAGACGATACCATCCATTATATCGAGAGTATGAAGCTGCCAGAAAAAAATATTGGAAGGAGAAAATGAAGCAGTTCTCCACAGCACAGCGAGTATCGTCAGAATGTTTTTCAACATTCTCAGCCTATGTACAGATAGGTGAATATTTTTTGCAAATATATCTGTGGTTTCTGGCCATAATTAGTTAAGTCGAAAAATGGTTCTCACGAATTCTGTGAATTGAGATCATCTTCCAAGCCTTCTAAACATCGTGGAAGAGTTAGTAAATTCACATTATATCAAATTCTCATCTAGACCTCTAAAATTTTTAGTAATGTAAGTTACCAACCCCTTTACGGTTTATGTGAAGATGGCCAGAGACCGTAGATTAACATTTATTTTACATAGATTCCATCTTGCATAATTCTCTTGATCAATGACATAAAGTTAATAAGTCTAAGTCTAACAGCAGACAATATTAAAACATTACAAACCGATTATATACTAAATTCGCAAACAACATAAATACAGTAAGGAATATAACAATAACAATAGATTGACAATGACAGATATATTTGGTTTATTATTTTCAATAATGGAACCATTGTAATCAAAGAAAAATCTTCGAAAAGTTAACCCCCTTAAAATTTGATGTTTTGCGTCTCTACGTTATACGCAGAACTCGAAAATCGAATAAAAAAAAAATCGTATACGGCTTTTCTGCTAGACTACTGGACCGATTTAATTGAGATTTGAAATCGAAGTCAGAGGTCACCCGACAATGATAATTCTACCTCGACGTTACCATACGCCCTTTTCTTTCACGATGACGCCCGAAAAAACTGTAAAAAAATGCCGCTTGAAAAACTAGAAATATTTTATATGCAATTTTTACATGCTAGAATGATTTATCATTTAATTCCAAAATTCAAATTTTTACATTTATTAATGTATTCATTATATATATATAATGAAGAAAATGCGACATAT